GCTTCTGATGCTAAGTAGGGGAGAGATGGGCAACTTCTACAGCTGAGAAAGGGAGCACTATAAAGTCACCCAGTGGGCTCTAGAGTTGGCTGACATCTATTTGGTCAGCCCCAGCATTAGACATTCACCGGTCTGTGACACTGTCTTACATGGAGACCAGCTCCCAGGAAGGAGCCCTCAGGGAAACCATAGATGTCTGAGGAGAAGCAGTGCAGGATCCTTGCAAGAAATGTCACTTTCAGAACAAGAAAACGGTGTGTAATATGAGGAAGTCAGATTCACTGGATCATCTCTGCGGTCCTTGCTTCCAAAGATGATGAAGAGAAAGCGGCTAACAATCATGTCGCAAAGGGCCATGGCCACGTGCAGCCCGCTTGCTGCCCCAACTGCGCGCAGTGCATGCCGGAGGGCAAAGCTGTTCAGAAGTCCATTGTGAAACATCACAGACATTTTGCAATAAGCGTCTTCGAGGTCTGTGTGCTTCCCAAGCTGTATGTGCAATTACATGGCTGCATGAGTGGATCCATTCACAGCAAGGTGCTCAGGAACTGTTCTCCTGATGCCAGGAAGGAAGCCGCACCCTGATTTAGACCTGAGGTGCCACTCCACGACCTCCGCCAAAGCCCAAATAAGGGAGTTAAGTCCTTAATTTACAGGCTGAAGAGAAACTGTCCTCTGGGAAAAAGTAAATGGAAATTATACTTTTAAAATAAAAGAAAATGGTGAGCAGTGTACTTGCTTATCTTTTGTCCTCTCAGCTAACTGTATGTCAAGTTCAGGCCACCAGGAGTTTGGCCAAGGCTCCCACGTGGGAGGCGGGGCTGTGAGAATGGACAGGAGCTCTCCCGTCCACTGCAGGTGCCCGGGACCAGTGTTGTCCACAGAACTTAAGGTGGAGTTGCTTGGACCTTTCCTTTTCCATAGTCCATGCAGACAGCCATTTGCAATCACAGATGAACTTTTTTTACATTTTGAGAGGTGGCGGCAAAAGAAATGAAGACACATTATTGTTTGTTTCTTATGAGCTGGGAATGACAGCCACACAGCACATGCTGCTACACAGTGGATCTGACGCCCTATCCATGTCAGCAGGAGATAAAGAAAATCTGGTGTATTAAATTGTTATTAATTCCCCTTTCCTGGGTTGGGGAAGGCAAGGAAAAGTGTGGGGTGCTCAAACAGCACTGGTACTTTTTTTGTATAGAAGAAATGTGGTATAGACCAGAGGTGCAGGGGTTGAGAGGATTCACCAGAGAAAGAGTGGGGAGCAAAACAGGCAGATCCACTGAAATACACTGCTGAGGGGAGCAGCGGATGAGACTGGAGAGGCAAACTGTGGGTGAGCTCCCTGGCCGGGGATCAAACTCAAGCAGAAGTGGTGACAGTGCTGAAACTTAACCCCTGGGCCACCATAAGGTCCAGAACTGGCATGTTTAGAAAAATCTGGCTAAGGTGGTGTAAAGGGCAGGAATGGCCACTGAGCAGGTTTTCTAAGATCCAGCAGACCAGGTAAAGGAGGAGTCAGAGTCCTCAGTGGTTTTGCAAGTTTTTATTTGGATTACCAGGTACACGGCAGGCAGGAGGACTGGGGGGCCGGGAGGCTAGCAGGCCTCCCAGCCCCCAGCAAGTCTTCACTCTATCTGGGCTCTCCAGCCTTCTCTGCTTCTCTCTCAGCTTCTGTTCGTTCTCGGCTTCTGCTGACGTCCCCATGATGCCACCCTTAAAAGCCCAGTCTCAGCCCAGGTGAATCCTATCTCCCTCTGCCCATGCCCTACTCCAGGTGCCCGCCATCAGGCATGCATTCAGGACCGCAAGGATCCATCACCTGTCCTGACGGCAGGAGGGCAGAAAAGCCTGACATTTTTCCTTACCCTACAGGTGGGCTCAGTGATTCCTTCTGTTGGAAGTTGCATGTATGTTCAAGTCTGTAACCATCTTCTGGTTCAAGGCCAATCACGAGCTATACCATAGTTTTTCCACCTCCACCCCTGATGAGTTCCCCGCGTCCTCTCACCACTTCATCCTATCTATACGTAACCACTGCTGCCAACCAATAGGTGGAGTTCAGGCTCTAAACAGTAAGAGTTAAAATTTTACATTGGAAAAACAACCTGGAGTAAACTCCATGATTGCGTGGTTAAAAGTCCACAGGCACCAGGGACAATCTCTTAGCTAAATGATCACACTTTGTTATGCTAGTTTTCATGCTAATATTAACTGAAGATCCAAATAAAAGCTGTCGATATGAGTCAGAAGAGGGGGAAAAAGCTAGAAAACACAGCTTTCCAATATAAAAACATTAGGTTCAAGACCCAGGACCAAAAAAATGAGAGAAAATAAAACAAAATTTCATTTTTGCAGAACCGGTAGGGTCAAAAGCACTTCCATTAAAAATAATATTCTATAAATATGGAAATCAGCCAGGTGTTCTCAGGAAATGTTGCAAGACCTGAGAAGAAACTTGCCGGTGTGACATTTTCACTGTGTAGCAAATTCTGACCAGCACAGAAATACATCAAAAATGCCTGTGCCAGAAAGGAAGAAAAGGAGAATATGGAAGGGAAGACCCTTCTCCAGAGAGGCGTAAGAGCAGTTCTTGGAGCCGGAGAAAGGGGGTGTCTGGGAAACTTAGTGGACAAGCAAACAGCAGGGTCAGTGCACCCCTGTCAGTGTGAGGGGGAGACAGAGAGGAGGCCAGGAAGCCTATACAGAGGACAAACAGAAGTCCCGACCGCCGCATGGAATGGGAGTGTGGGAAGAATGATTCACTGAAGCTAATCGCCTGGGATGTCAATGCGGCGCCTCCACCATCACCTGGCATGGGAGGCAGATCTTACACTGCAGGTTGGACCCTTGTTCTCATTTCATAAAGCCAACATCTCTGGAAAATTGGGTTCCATAAATGGAGGGTTTTGGTTACATTAAGCTTTACTATTAACTTTGCAGTAGTTGTAGAGGGGAAATTTATTCGAACCATGCAAAGTATAGAACAAGCCTGTGAGATAAAAATGAGTCAAAAGTTTGAAAGTTATTTGAATAAGTCAATTTGATTAGCCAGACAACACTGATTTTTTCCAAATATATTGCGTACCTATTAATAAATTTCAAATTAAATTCAGTCAATTTTCAATTATCAATGCTAATTTAGAGAAGGCAGAAAGGAGCAATATAATCCACGGAGAACTCTGAAATCTCATTTGCATTTCAATCTTTCCCCCGATTTCCATTTCAACATTTTTATTGGACTAATTTGAGATTTTAAAGCCTCTCTGTCTCCTTTGCAGTGATTAAATAAGCATTTATTAATGGCCTCCTCTATGCTAAGCCTTCGACCTGGCATCCAGGAGAGAGAGGCCCAGGTCACTCGGCTGGCCAGCAGGCTAGTTCCTTTCATCAGTTGCTTCCTTTCATCATCTCAGTAAAATGCATCACATCAATTAGAATGAAAATAAATAAAATCAGAATAAAGTAAAGAGTTAAGACAGGGGAGAGAAGTACACAAGAAGCGGTGGAGAGTGATAACCACTGCTATGTTAGAGGGAGAACGAGGGGCCTACATCGGAGGGCAGAAATCAAATACTGTCCAAAACTTAACCACAACGTAAAAAAAAAAAATAAATTTAATTAAAAAAAGAAAAATCAGCTCTTAGTAAATAAGCACATTCTTATCTCAATTCCTCTCTAAAATAGTTTTTCACTAGCTCTCATTCTTAATCCTGATCTATATATGAAAAAAAAATTGCAGCTGGGGGGAAATGGAGAAAGAATAGAAAGTAGGTGAAAAGCAAAAGGAAGGTATACAGAAAACTAAGCCACAAAGAGAAAAGCAGATTGTAAAACATTTATGGCCACTATTGGCATTAACCCTAATATTTACTGGTCGATGAAAAGCTATACTTTTATATATGTGGATTTATAAACATCAATGTTATCGTTGACAAGTCAAATGCTAATATAGAAAAGATGTTGGAAAGAGACAGAAATTATGTACATGCCAAGAAGTAGCCAGAAGGAAAAGCCACCTGGAGAAATCAGGAAGCAGGAACATTTGACCCACATTCATGACAAAAGTGACAGGTCAGGAGGTCTAGGCCACAAAGCAGGTCAGGGTCGTTTGAGAGGATCTCCTTCTATACAGCATTTTCTTTTTTATTCATCTCACAAATAATCGAGGTGCACCTAGTATAAACCAGGCAACCAGGGAGCCTATCCAACTGAGTGGTGGGCAATACATGTTTTTTTGAGCCAGTAAATAAAAGAAGAAAATAATGAATGATTAAGCCAAAGCTTCAGGAAGTCGCATGTCATTTCATGCCCACAGCCCGCTACTTTGTCCTTGGCTCCTGATGGGCTCTTTCTCAACTACCCATTCATAAGGAATCTGGAATCCAGCTGCCTGACTTCAAACTCTCATGGGGAACACCACCCAAGTGAGCCCCAAGTGAATCTGGTCTATTAATTCTGAGGAATCTGAATAAAGCAGCTATAGGCCTCCAAGAAGTAACAGAAACCATCTCAATCTTAATTCTACCATTCATGGGCAAACTGGAAATGTTAAGCATTATGTTGCCAAATACCACAGAGGTAGCAAATATCTTCCTTAGACAGTTCCAGTTTCTCATAAGGATAAGTAAACCCAACCGGCCCTCGTGCTCAACGTGACACCTTTCTCTATAATGAGATCTGCACGATCCATGATGTGCTCTTGGCACCCATGGCACATGGGTGACATGACAGGTCTAGACATGGCTGTCCCCAGCTGTCTCACAATGCAGCGCGGGCTCAGGCTAACACTGAATATGTGATGCCAGGGGCTGAGGAGAGATGCTGGGGAGAAGCACAGACAGAAGGATGTCACCTGAACACAGGCCAATCACAACGCTGGGAACAGAAGCAGCCTAGGCCCAACTTTATGACAGAAATCCAAAAGAAATTCTTCCAGAATTCAGTACCCGATCAATGCTGTTCCAAAAGCCAGGCTTTAAGTAAAAATAACTTACACACTGACTTGTCAAAGCTTTCCAGATGATTCCGATGAGCAGTTGAGGTTGAGAACCACTGCTACAACATCACTAAAGCTTCTAGTTCTTCCTCTCCCTCCTCCAGACTCCATCATGATAATGACAGGCTCTGAAAACATTTTTAAAACATCACTAGATAAGGGTCTCTGAGAGTGTTACAGGATCTGCCCAAGACTGGGTCCTCGGGAACACACTTCTTGATCTGAAGTAAATGAGGCTATTGCAGGTAAAATTAAGTGTTTGACTGGCCAAGGTGGTGGTGAAATATGGTCTATGTCGTAATGACAGGAGCAAGAAAAAAAAGGGTCTCTTTAGGATCATTTTCCTAAGTTTGGTTTTTTTTTTTTCAATCCTATAGGGAGAGGAAAAAAATTTCCCTTTATCCATCTTAGGTTTATTATCTGGGAACCCTGCAAATTAAAATGACAAAAAATAGGTAAACAAGAGAAAAAATTTGGTGTTCATGAACACATGCATTGCACGTACACATGGAGTACTCAGTGGTCAGTAACTCAAAGGGGTGGTTAGAACTTGGGCTTCTTCTATAGGATCTTTTTTTAAAAAAGATTTATTTATTTATGCATATAAGAACTGGGGTACAGGCCAGAGACGCAAGGAGTGAGAGGATTCATCAGAGACTGAGTGGGGAACAGAACAGGCAGATTGACTGAAATACACTGCTGAGGGGAGCAGTGGGTGAGACATGAGAGGTCTGCTGTGCCATGTGTGTTGCTCCCTGGCTGGAGATCAGACTTGTGCTGCAGTGGCTGCAGAGAGCTTCATAGGTTGCATCTTAATCCCTTGCACCACCAGGGAGACCCTTGTATAGCATCTTAACAAAAGAACAACACATTTTTTAGGGGTGGCAGACACATGGGAAAAACTGATGGGAGTTAAGGGTGGTTCTGACAAGGTTTGTTAGGTAGAGTCATCTGCTGCCCACCCTCCCCGGGCTGATAAGGTTCTTGAGTTGCCTCTGGTGATCGAGTCACCTCACCCATCCTGGTTGAGAGAGGGCAGGAAGAGTTTCCCTTGTGCTGGCTTTTATTTTTTTCAATTGCCTTTAGCTCAAAATGGTCCTGATACAGGGTGGCATATTTGGGGTTGCATATTCTGAACTCCTACACCCTTCAAGGCTGTCCGATGGGCTGCAAAGCTCTCGGAACTCCCCACCATATTACCCTCTCTATCTTATCATCCAGTTGCCTTCCTTGCCATGTCACTAAGTAACTTGTAATTAATATATTAGAGTGAAATTCTGAAAATTATGTAATGAGCCTTTGCTGTTTGTTTTTGCACTAGCAGGCCCACGGTGTCCATCTGCCATGGGAGAGATTAGAATTTGTTGTAGAAATTACAAAGAAAAAGGATGAGGGTGGTATTCACTTCTAACATACAAAATAGGATTAGGCAGCAAAACAAGAGCTTTACTAGTTGGGCATTTGTATTGAGGGGATTTTTCTGAAGTCCTCTAATATCCACTTCATTAAGGACCAGCAACGGAGCTCCTCTGTTAGGCTGAGAAGCCAGACCCTTCCCCCCTGAGGTAGGAAAGCTAAGGAGGCTTATTGCTTAATGGGGGGATGATATCATGCTGGGGGAGTTAAAGAACAACAACAACAGAAATGAAGTCTGGGGAAGACCAGCAGCGAAGGAAAGGGAGAGAATCTGTGTACTTGCTTTGAAGCAGAGAAGCAGAGTTGCTGTAGATAAATGAGGATAGTGAGAGTAACACCAGGGGCAAATGTGGGCTCTTGCTTCTACTGTGTGCTTAGGGCTCTCGAAGAGACCACCCTGCTTAGAAACCGGCTCCTGTAAATTGACCCTGCAAGGACACCGCACAGAGAAGGCTGAGATTTAGCTTTTCTGAGCCACGCTCAGCTCCCATCTAAAATGGACTCTGGGTTAAGAGCAAAGAAACCTGACATTTTGGTTAGCCTGTGCAGCCTTTCTGGGGACACACATACCACTTCTGTCAGGTTTATTGAAATATTGAAACTAGTTTTGCAAAGTGAAACTGCTGTGCTTATACCTACTCCATCAATATTCCAAAGGAGGATGGACTGTAGCCGCCCAACAGGGGTGAGGGGCCCTTCTCTCTAATGGACCAACATTTCCCTGACTTGTAGCCCAGTAATTATGAACACACCAGGGCTTTTTCACTAGTCAGCCATTACTGATGAGCATGCCAGTGTGCAGGTGCTAGAATATATTCAGTTGACACAGAACTGGCCTCAAGGCACTCACAATGTGGTGAGTAAAGTTGACAATATGAACGAAATCTAAAATACTGTTGGGCTTGAACTGTGTCCCCAGAAAGGTGTAATGAAGTTCCAAGAACCAGTACCTCAGAATGTGACCTGTTTTGCAAATAAGATCTGTGCAGCTGTCATGAAGTCAAGGGTCACAGAACATGCTACCCCAAACTATGAGTGTAGGCATCAGGACAGGCCACCTTGAAATAGACCATTTTTGTACATTGATGCTTTAACTATAGGCACCTGAAAAACAGCAAACACAGGGAGAAATTTACTCTAACTTGCCCCTATCTGCCTAAGGACACCCTCCAAAAGTGTATCAATTGTCATAATCCCCTCTCTGGGGGTTTCCTTAACCAGGGGAGATGGACCGTGATCACAGGAGAAGACACTAGAGTAGATACCACACCCAGACAAACTTTGCCACAAGCTATCATACCTCCCATCTATTCTTCAGGGACTCATTCATCTTCCCTAAAAATCATTTAATCTCCACTAAGAGCTGACATACTCTCCTCTTAATCCCTCTAAAATGGTATTTACTCTTGAATTCCAAGCCACCCCCAGGAGTTAATCACTTCACCCTGGGGCTCTCCCATTCATCTGTGAGCTATACTTGTTACTAAACTTCTGGTTGGGTTTTTTTGTTTGTTTGTTTGTTTTTTTGCTAATCTATCATTTTATTACAGGAGTCTCAGCTAAGGACTCAGAGGGTAGAGGAAAAATTATTTTTCTGTCATTTACCTCCACCCAAATTAAGATGTCATACTGGAATAGGATGGGTCCAAAGTGACTGGTGTCCTTATAAGAAGAGGAGACACAGGCACACCCTGGGGAGGAGACACCATATGAAGATGTGGACAGAGAGTGAGGTTATGCTGCCATGAGCCAAGGAAAACCAGAAACCACTAGAACCTCTAAGGAACATTGGCACCCATCCCCCCTCAGAACCCCAGGTAGGAATCAACCTGCCCATACCTGGGACTTCCAGCTTTAAGAACTGTCCATGAAAAAAATGCTGTTGTTTTGAACCCCTCCCCACCCCCACTTTGTGGTGATTTTTTACAGAAACCTGAGGAAACTGGCACATGGAGCATATGCGGTGTGCTTCAATAGAGCATTCCCTTCTAACTCAGGAGCACATGGAAGGTACAAAGACTCACCCAGGAAGTGGGATGCTCCACCCCAGGAGAGCGCTGCAGAAGTGGTCTGAGGCAGCAGCTGCATGGAGGCTGCAAGGTCAACAGAGCAGTGCAGAGACCTAGAAAAAAAGAAAGTGTTTAGTGGGTCTGAGGGGAAACTAGGCCTCAGTGGACCAAAATGAAATTCAAAGTTTTGGGCAAGAAGTTTTCCAATTGTCCAGAAAAGGAAATGAAGAATCTATGGCTACTCTTGACAGTGGGAGATGGTCCAACAGTTCCAAGTATGTGAGAGTCGCTTTGGGACATTAAATAAAGGAGACCTAGGAAATGAGGCATCAGGGAGTCATGTAAAGCCATAATCCGTAGATGCACTATAGCTAGCCACTGGTGCTCTGGAAAAAAATGGGAAGAAATGCTGCTGGATCTGTTTCTCAATGAGATATTATCATCTTTATTATTATTACTTTCACCAAGTTGACACTTTATCTACCAGGCTGATATTTAAAGAAAGGCATTCTTAGTTGAAATGGATTCCCATTTTTTTTTCCTACCAGATTCTGAAAATTAATGCATACCCCAAGGAATGTGTATTTAGAATTCCAAGGGGTTTTCTAGGTAAAATCCACTCTGCCATCTTTTAAAACAAATGAGTTCAGTTGCACAAATACATTCATGCCAAATCATTTCTAAAAGAAATATACTTCCAGCCCCATAGATCATATTTGAGTTTTTATTCCAATACTATACGTCATTGTAAATCACAGAAAGAGTAGAGGTGAAAAAGCTTGAGCAATTGTTTCACGTTGCAGGAAATGCTGCTTTTTTTTCCACTTCCAGTTTAACCAAAATTATTTACTGTGGTATATATATTTACCTTGCAGGGAAGTGGTTTAAGATACAGGTCAGAGAAACCTTATGTATTTTTTTCAATTTTTCAAGACTATTGAGCAGGACCGTTGGCAAATCTTTCAGAAAAAAAAAAAAATAGTAACCTTCTATTTCACAGAGACTGATTCCCGAGGTCTGTCTCTATCTCCTACTATTGACCGATCAAAGTCAGCAGAGTAGCTGAGTGAGTCAGGAGCTTCCCAGGTCCTTCCCAGCCATTGTTCCTGGTATATTTGCATTTTAGGCTTTACCTCTATTAAATGACATCTCTTTTGGGAGTTATTATTTTTTTTTTGCGGCAGAACCTAAAACCTCAGCACTTAGTAAGCTACATTCTCTTCCTCTTATGGGTAAGGCCAGCTCTGTAACTCCATAAATGATATTAGAAAGAAAGAAGCAAAACAGAAAATTTACATGCAATTAAGGACCTGAAGTCCAAATGGCTGGCTTTGATTAACATGTACCCTTTTCCTAATGCTAATTCATTTGTTCATTTATTGGATTTCAAAATTGCACCCTATGCCCTCCAGCCTCAGCAAACAAAGACATAATTTAAAATACCAAGACACAAATGCGCTATTTATTACTGTGTAAAAGAGCCATTATTACAGTTACTTATTTTTTTCTTCACGAAACTAGCTCTATTCAAGTTATTTACCATGTTGTCAATTATTACCATCATTAATAATGATAATGATAATCATTGAGAACCAGCAATGTGTTGAGGAATAAATAGAGCACAGAGTAAGGCAGAGTCCCAACTCAGTGAAACAAAGGTGACTTTGTGTCACCCCAGATTTCACAGCGAGTGTAGCAGATATCAGGGAAGTCTTTACCCTTTACTCTTCCTCATCATTTTAGCTTCAAAACTCTCTTTTTGGCAATTCCTTGTGCACATAAAGGGTGTGAACTCACAGTCGCCCTCTCATGCGTGACCTGGCACATGAGTACTCCAAGCTTTGCTGTCCTTCAGGCTGGGACTAATTGCCAGATTCACCCCAGCTGAGAGGGACTGGAAGTTAGTGCTACTGGATGCACTATTAATGGAATCTGTTATCAAGTCACAAGACAAGATGCCAGTCTGGCACCGCTCTGCAAACTGGAAGTGCATGGGGAGACACAGACACCCTGTCTGACGATGAATAGCTAAGCTGTGAAACCAATTCACTGGGCACCTACTAGAAATCAGCCTGTCAAAATGATTGCACTGTAGGAGATAGAGCATTGTGGAGGGGGGGGTGTCTTTCTGTCTTTCTATCTCTCTGTCCATTTGCATGCATGTGCTTCCTTCCACTTCATAAATGCATGTGTAAGTATATAAGGAAAGCAAATAATAACTGAAATTCTTAGACAGCCTCTTGCTTAGATGAATGTGTTCTGATAACATTCTGAATATAAATCTAAGTGAAACTTTAAGGGCAAGAATAGAAATTGTATAATAGCTCTTTTCTGAGAAGTAATCTCTTTGGAATAATTTAATCTCACTATTTTCATGGATGCCTAGAATGAATTATGTAATTTATTTATATCACATAATAGCATTTGCCTTAACACAAAGTTAAAGGTGCATCCCTCCCTGCAAATGTCAATGCTTTTCACTTCAAGATTCTGAATCAATTTTACACATGAGGAATATAGTTACGGAAGAAGAGTAAGTAGCCTTTTCTCTTTTCCTTCTGCCCCCAACTTGGCTCAGCTGTCTATGGAATTAAGGATCAGGAAGAAAACCCAGCAGCGCTGGTGAGGGAAGCAGCATTAGCATGAACCCTGGTTGGTGACATTCTGTCTCATGGCACTATTTTCCATTTATACCATTTCTTGGCCACCTGCAGATTATTAATTAATCACAAAAATCAGAAGGGGATCTTCACCAAAACACACAAACACTAACACATAAACTTTTCTGAAAGCTACAAGTAGATCATTTAACAAGAAGGCAGGTGAGTACTTAAGCTCTTACCTCTGATTTCTACCCCATCATTCAGTTCTCAAATCCTTCTCTTCATAGGCAGTGAAGAGACACAGGAACACTACACACACACACACACACACACACACACACACACACTGTACAAACACAAAGACACACAGAACACATGCTTGCATGCTAAAAATCAACTCCTGCTCTTGAAAAATACACATTGTTCTGAGATCCAAACAGTTCTGGCTTTTGTATAATTATCTCAGCGGGAGTTATCTCTGTGTATCAAATGGTGAAATTTGGCCCAGGCTAATTAAGTTTGTTTTCCTTTGATCATGTAGACATGCCGAGTAGTATTTCCAAAACATGTTTATCATGTTTTTAAGATACACTTATAAGTTAGAAGTGCTGTGGGTATCTGGAGAAAGGACCTAGTTGTCAATAGCTGTCCATTTTTTCGTCACTGAGAATTACGGACCTATATCAGATTATTTCTGACAGATGTTTTCTTCCAATTTCTAGAAGAGGGAGAAGGTGAAAGGAATTTTGAGCTTTTTATTTAAATGACCTGAGATTTGTGCCTTTAAACTTCCAATTACAGAGCACAGATTTGCTGCTGAACCTTCTGTAAACCTATCAGTTAAAAGCTTGTGCAGTTTTATGGCATGTCACCTCCAACCTCTGATTAGCAAATTGCAGGCCAAGCTAAAACACTTAAGCAGTGCTGCTGCTTGTCTCATTTTGGAGGACTAGATCATTACAGTTTAGTAATTTAGATAAATCCTTGCAGGCTATACTTTTTTCCCACTGCAAAGATCTGGTGCACAGAGAAGGCACTCAGGGCCAAATTACACACTACATTTTCCTTATTAGAAAATGCCAAGGAAATTTGCATTCATGGGATTTATGAGGGGGTTACTGCTTTCCCTATCTAAAATTACCTTGTTCATTTACTTATTTATGGGTTGTCTCCTCTTCTAAAATGTAAGCTCCATGAGATCACATAACTCATCTGTCTTTTGCACTGCGGTATCTCCAGATCATTGATCAGAGCTAGCAGATATTTGTTGAATGGACAGATTCATTCACTCATTCCTCAAATATTATAGATGGAAAAAAACAAGTTTCCTGCTTTTGAAAGGTTCACAGTCTTTTAGAGAAGCTATAAATACCCTGCCACAAGTAAGTGTGTAAGAGCTTAGGAAGGGGGCAATTTATGATGTAGTGAACTCCAATAAACCCATCACAAGCTGAAAATATCATGAAATTGAAATTCATTTCATACACCTAACCTACCAAACATCATAGCTTAGCCCAACCAGGCTCACTTGTGCTCAGAACAAGCTTACAGTTGGGCAAAATCTTCTAATACAAAGCCTATTTTATAGGCTACTGTAGGCTTATACAAAGACTTTGTGCAACTTATTAAATACTACACTAAAAGTGAAAAACAATCTGTAGAGAATGGGTCCTTTACCCTTATGGCAAGTTTAACTGGGAGCTGGGACTACCTCCAATGTCCAGCATCATGAGAGAACATTGTATTGCAAATCACTAGTCTGGGAAAAGATTAATATTCAAAATCTAAGCATGATTTCTACTGAATGCATATCACTCTGACACTATCATAAAGTTGAAAATTGTAAGGGGTCATCTGTCTATGTATGATATAAACACAGACATGGTCCCTTTGTTAGCCCCCCCACTGGTTATTAGTTATCCATGTAAAAAACTCAGTGAATACTTGGTCAGCACTGCCAGCCTTATAACTTGGAACCATGCCGGAGCATGAAGGCAGCGGTCCCATGCAGAGGTGACTTAGAGTCAAAGGGAAGCTAGGCTTGGGGCTAGTGAGGGACTTAAGAGGTCTCTTCAGTCATTGGCTGGGGTGGGCAACTAGTATGGGACATTTGAAGCCAGAAAGATGAGGTTCAGTCAGTTCTATAAGTTCTCACTTTGGCCATCATATAAGGAGGCTATCATGTCTGAAACTCTTCAGAGATGCTTACAAAGTCAGAAAGGCTGATTCGAAGAAAATTCATCCTTCTCCCTTTTATTGTTTCCCAGCTTAGGACTTCTACTTTTTAGGACTTGGCCCAGAGCCCTGACTTCAGAATGTCTTCAAATGTTCTCCCTCCAGCCACCCTGACGTGAGGAAGCATGGGACACAGAAATGGCGGCCTGTAGTTAATGAGCCACCTGGTGTCAAGACAAGTCATCTCTATTTATTTATTATGTGCAAATTTATTTTAGCACACAAATTAAATTACATCTGTGACTTTATTTGAACTCTGAATGATGACTCAATGC